GTATCTCCTCCGCCTGGCTCGGTTCCGACCACCACCGTGCCTCTCACCTTCTTTGACATCCACTGGCTCGGTTCTTTCCCCATGCAACGCCTCTTCTTCTTTGATTTCCCTTACCCTACCTTGCATTTCACTCAAACCGTTCTTCCTAGTCTCAAAACCTCCCTCTCCCACACCCTACAGCATTTCTTCCCTTTTGCTGGGTATCTCGTGCTCCCTCCACGTCCTCAACAGCCCTATATCCTCTACAAAGAGGGGGACTCTGTTCCCTTTGTTGTTGCGGAATCCATGGCTAACTTCAACCATCTTGCAGGCAACCATGCTCGAACAATCGGAGAATTTCAACAGCTGCTAGTGACGAGGTTACCACGGGTTCTGGTAATGGGTGGATGCAAACAGCAAAATGCCATGGCCGTTCGAGTCACTGTGTTTCCGAACTCGGGCGTCTCCATAGGCATAACGTTCAGCCACGCGGTTGCAGATGGCAGAGCATTTGCCCATTTCATGAAATCATGGGCCTCGATTTACAGGGCGCAAGGGGACTTGACTTCTCTAAACGGTTCCCTTCCGATCTACAACAGGGATTTGATCGGAGACCCTGGTGGGCTTGCTTCCATATTCATGAAGGACGTCTGGGATTGGGAGGGTTTGAGCAGCATTTCCCTGCAGCAACTTCGGATTACCAAGGTAATTAGCCGATCCCAAATCGAGATATTAAAGAATTGGGTCCGAAATAAGAACGCTACAGAGAGTCAACCAGAGCAACTAAGACTATCCTCATTCATCGTGACTTGTGCTTACATGTGGGTCTGTTTGATCAGATCAGAGGAAAGGGAAATTGGCGACGATGAGCTTTACCACTTGGTTTTCATGGCAGATTGTAGAGACCGCCTGAAATTAGCCGCAACATACTTTGGAAACTGCCTGGAAATTCGTTTCGCAGAAGCGAAGAGGAAAGAGCTGGTGGGGGAAAATGGGGTTTTGGCGGCAGCAATGGCTATTGGAAGAGAAGTATCCGAACTGGATAAAGGAGTGCTGGGAGGGGCGGAGAAGTGGCTGTCAAGGGCGAAGGAAGTATTCCAGTCTGGTGTCCACACTGTTTCAGTTGCAGGGTCACCAAAATTGCGTGTGTACGAAACGGACTTCGGATGGGGGAGGCCAAAGAAGACAGAGGTGGCTCACCTTGGTTCTTATGGAGCAATGTCGATTTCAGAGAGTGGAGGTGAAGAAGGAGGAGTTGAGTTTGGACTGGCTCTTTCTCAGGACGAGTTGGAGAAATTCAATGTTGCTTTTAAGCAAGGCTGGTTGGGGCTAAGGTGAACGACAGTGAGTAAAGCTCTTGAATCAGAAAAAAAAGAGCCTGGTCCTGGAGAATAAAGCAATGAAATTAATTTATTTGTTTGGCGACGGTACGCACAACAGGGCAGGAAGGTAATGAAACAATCATAATCTCCGAGGACAACCCCAGTTAAGCTCAGGGACTGCATTGAAGAGCTCCTGAAGTTCACTCTCCACTCTCAATTAAACGGAACGCTGATCTTGGGCTCTCCAAAGATTTCTGCTTTTCTCTTCTCAAAGACGAATCAAGTGACCCCATCACCAGTTAAGAAGCGAAGAAAATCAGTGAGAATAATCGTCTAGGCTTGCAATTTACTGTGCCTATTGAACTGTCTGGGTTTTCATATGTTTCTAATGAAAGTGTGAAACTTGATTCAAGATATAGTTTGATTTGGTCAAGAAATTAAATGGAAACAATTAGAAGGCATAACTCCCCTGACATATTGTTTAAGTGAATGATTCAGATTCTTCAGGAGCCCCTGAATCTCCTCTATGCAGTAAACTAGCTTCAGATATAGTTATGCAATTTTATGTTATGTTACATATCCCTTCCTGAAACTTCTTTGCATTTATTTTTTACCTTTTTGGTATATTGGGTTAACATTGCAAGGTTTGGACTGTTGATTTTATCCCAAATTAATAGTACC